TCTTTCTCAATTCACAACATGAATTTTACATGAGACAAAACCCTGCAGGTGAAACCATCTGTTTGCTTTGGGCAATGCAGCTGTGAAAGCTTCTGTACAGTGCACAATGCAGGACCAGACTTTCCAAATCAACTTTTACTATCGATGGCCTACAGTTTTTGGGAGCCAAATCTGGGACATCGTCATTTTTCAGAGGAAGAACACTTTCTGAAAAGCAGGTTCCTTTAAGTCAACGCAAATTGGCACCCCAAATCAAGGCACCAAAACCCACTGGTCATACTTAACTATTATTCTCAACTATTAATCTTTTCAGTTAAAGAGGGTGTTGACACTTATTGGTTGTAGATTAGCACCTGATAATTTTATTAATCCAACTGTATTTTGGAATGGACAAAAGACAGCATTAATCTTGTCTAGTTTTGCACATCTAAAATCTATTCACCCTTGGGTCTTTTTGTAACTGATGGTGCAAAGCAGTCAGTTTCAGAGGAAAATTAATCTCACCTATCCCAGACCCTTAGAGTGAGGTGAATTCCTTCTGGAAGCACCTCTTTCTCTCAGCTGACAAAAAAATTAAGTTAGATTAATATTAAAAAACAATCCCTGGTTTAAAATATGTTTTCTTCTATTTAAAACTATCTAAAGGGGAAAAAAAAAAATCCACGTAAAATGCAGGGTACCAAGTGTTTTATCATCAGATTCAAATAAATTTTTATAAATATGTTCTCTGAGGAAACAGCTGAGAAAATACTGGATGACGCAGCCTTAGATATCCATCTACTTTGACAGTGAAAGTGTCATAGAATTCTTTCTTTCTATTAGCCGGAATTTGCATCTTTTCTTTTTCCTCTATGTCACCATGATATAGTTTGGCCAAGAGACCAGCTTAGCACCTTTGGGATCGCTGACAGTAGATGGCATCACTTAACTCTGCTTCTCTTCTGCTACAGAAAGTTGATCCTGCCTGTACCGTAGTAACATGCAGCTGGCAGAAGAGCCCATGGCCACCAAAAAGAGCCACTGGCTGGGGCAAAAAAGGACATGACTGCTAGGCGCAGAAGAAAGCCTGTAGCCTTGCTGCCTACAGCAGACTGCTGGAAAGGCCAGCTGCTGGCTGTCGCTGGTACCTGTTGTTGGGGAAGAGACTGGGATGCTGGAGTGGCATCCACACGTGGTCCCTATGGCATTTGATGGCTCTGCTACACCCATTCCCACTAGTGGCACTTGACTCCTTACGGGTGCTGCCTCTGCTTTTCTGTTTCTCACCATTACAGCAGAAGCCTGGCTTGACTCATTATCTGCCTTGTTTCCGTTGCAGAGATGCCTTGAGCCGCTCCAGCTGATACAGCTTCCCCATTTTATGTTGCAAGGACCAAACTTTTTACGAATTAAACCATGACCATGCTAAAGCCCAGGGCTACAGCCCTACTTGAAACTTGGATCAAGATACACTGCAAGGCAAAGCTACATTTACATTGTTAATGAGTTTCTCAATCTGAAAGCTTATAGAGCAGCGATCACATACTCTATCATCCATGGGCCAAGAACAACAACGATGAAGACGTAACACTCCCTGAGCAATGCTGTGCTTTGCATTTTCTGTTGTTTTTAGTTTTAACAATTTCCTGTGATCACGACCAGAATTTTCAAGGGTTTTGAGTGCAATACACTGCTCATGAGCCACTGAGAAACAGTTTTTAGCCTGTGGTCGCCGAGTTCCTACGATCTCTGGACTACTTCTAACAGGACTGTGAAAAGCCTGTTTTCAACAGAGTTTACTTTGCTATTAAACAGCTTTCAGGTATCCACCTCTACTCAAATATATGTCTGCAATTTGCAGGGGAAAAAACCAATAAAGGTACCAGGTACGCCAGTCTGAAAAGCTTCCAGCAGCCACGGGTCAATTGGAAGCGCTTTGTAACACTACTTTACGCATTCGCACAACTGCATTTTTGCTGAAGAACCTGCTCCTGGACTTACGTAGTTCTGAGTCATCCCTCAAGCTTTATGAACACTTCCCTCCCCGGCACCCCCAGAAGACACGTTTCCCATAATTGCACTGGCACCTACTGGCGAAATCCATCCCTCTCTGGCAGAGTGCTGAGTTACTCCCATCCTTCCAACGCCTGCATTTCTAAGGGCAGCAATTAAAGGCCATTTTCTTCTTCCATTTTAATGGTTAGTTTCTCCCATGTCCTTGGAAAGCCCTGTAAGGTGCCAGTAAAGTCCTGACAAGCTAACCTACAATTTTCATATTTTATTTGAAAAATATAGAAACAAAGGAGTAATTAAAGCACAACACCTGACATGAAAAACGAACAGTCACTATGGTCAGAGGTCATTGGGTGTTTCTGTTAACCCAGTGGCCCCAGACAGGAAATAAATGCCTTCAATTCTTTCATTTACTTTAAAAAAAAAAAAAAAGGAAGAAATAAAGTAGAGCCATTAGTTAAAATTATCAATGACGGGTAATCAAGTGGTTGGCAATCCACTTGTCCTGCATTTTTTGCTTTAATCAAGATATGCCCGCTGTTGTGTTTTCACATGTGGTGGCTAGGTTTCCCTGAAAGTTAAAGCCAATTTTATTCCGAGATGCTGCCTGATAAAGCTGCCTACGGGGAGCGAATAACCGTGCTGTTTTCACACCTGATCGATAACTGATGGCCAAGCCTTGCACCAGTACGGGGAGGGAAAGGGCTCTGAATTAAGTCTGAGTTTACTGAAGTGTGTAATTGCCCATGCTAGAGATTAAAGCCCTTTACCCTTTGATTGTCGTCTCACCTATGAAACTTGTTTCAGTCGCAATTCCGAATTTTTAGTTTTCTTTCACAAAAAAAACATGCAAGCGGCCAGTGTAACACTTCAAATGCAAGGCCTGGCATTCAGTTATTCTTCTCTTTTGATCACGCACTGCGTGGCGAGAACAAAGTACTCCTGGCCCACCAACCCGTTCCTGGCGGACCGACTCCCAGCGGCGTATAGGTGTGCGTATAGGTGTGCGCACACACGCCCGTACCAAACCCCTGAGCGCTGACTCTGCTTATGCTTATCTCACTCCCCGTGTCTTTCGATCTCCTATTCAAACGGCTGCCGCTAAGAGCTGAGCGCTCACGGGCGCGATCCGTGCAGTACTGAAGTTAATCGCCTCCTGCTGCGCGGCTGCGGCGAGCGAGCAACGCCGGGTACCGCCGCTG